TGGACAGAAGGACCAGAGCATTGCCTCACAAGCTGAGCCCACGGGGGAGCAGGCATCAAACTTCAAAAAGTGCCAAAGAGCATTGCCTCCCAAGCTGAGCCCACGGGGCAGGCATCAAACTTCAAAAAGTGCCAAACCACCCCTACCACCAAACCCTAAAAAAGGACTACCATTACTGTTATTAGTCAACAGTGCTTTTTCTAGACAGAGGCAGAAAACTACAGTCTCCTGGGAAGACTTCACAGTATTTTCTTCTCATTTGCCCCTGTTTTTTTTGTTTTGTTTTTTAAATTTTTCATGCTCTTGAGTGAATTGTGCCACCAAGCACCAGCCCATTATTACACCCACAGTACTGGAGCTGTGGGAGGCCACACCCCACTGAACAGGGTGTAGCAAAGGAGCTGGCAGAACATGCAAGTAGTTCTTGCTCTTCATGGATACATGAAGTCTTGCTACCTTAAACTCTGAAGTCAGGTTCTTCCAATCAGATCTCAACTGACACTTTAATATACAGAGAGCCAGATGTATTGGCATCTCACCCTGACCCAAATTCCATGTGCACCCCTTAACAGATAGTTTTACTAACACGACTGTGGTGGGTTGGCTTCAGGCAGCAGCCAAATTCCATCCAGCTGCTTGCTCACTCCTCGATCCCCACAGATATATTGGCATCTCACCCTGACCCCAAATTCCATGGGCACCCCTTAACAGATAGTTTTATTAACACGACTGTGGTGGGTTGGCTTCGGGCAGCAGCCAAATTCCACCCAGCTGCTTGCTCACTCCTCGATCCCCCGCTCCAGTGGTATCAGGGAGAAAATAGGAAGACTAGGAGCAAGGAAGCTCCTGGGTTGAGATAGGAAAGTTATCCACCAGTTACTGTTGTGGGAAAACCAGACTCAACTTTGGGGAATTTCATTTAATTGCCAATTAATACAAGTATTTAAGTACTGATTTGGGTATTGGGAAACAAAAACTGAAGGAAAAAAAAAAAAAAACAAAACATTAAAAAAACCAGGGAAAAAACCTTTCCACCCTCTTTTCCCAGGCTCAGTTTCACTCCAGTCGACTCTGCCTTTGCCTTGTATTACTGCAGCTTACACTTGATCCTTCAGCAAAGCCATGAGCACACAAAGACAGGAGGGGATGGGGAGCTACAGTCAATACATGACTATGATGCTCCCTCCTTCTCAATACTTGCCCCCTACCTCAGCATGGGTCCTCCATGGGCTGCAGGGAGTATTTGTTCTGCCATGAAGCACTCCTACCTTCTCCTCCTCTGACCCTGGTGTTCTCTCTGCTGTTTTGCACTTTCTCTTCCCTCCTTCTCTCTTCTGCTATTATTTTTTACCTTTCTTAAACATGTATTCACAGAGGCACCACCAGCTCAGCTGATGGGTTTAGCTGTGTCCTGTGATGGATCCACTGTGGAACCAGCTTGAACCATCATCTGGCCTGGGGCATCCCCTGCAGCCTCACACTGCCAACACCTTGACACCTACAGCCACTATAATAGTCCAGTAACAGTTACTGCAACATAGACCAAATAGGAACAGTCTTGACTAGATGATTATTGTAGATCTCTTCCAGTTGAAATATCCTATTTTCTTCTACTGATAATACTGTCCTCAGTCTTCCCCCAGTCAGGAACCTCCCACTGCATCAGTTCTATTTATACATAGAAAGATATATAAAAATAAACAGATTTTTTTGTCATTTTTGTTTATGGATTCACTATGGCAAAAGCAGAGTATTTCCTTGCTGCTTTCTGTTTGTGTGCACGTTTGGTAGCTTCTAATGTGGCTGTTAAATCACTTGCTTGAGAGAAAAGAGAGGCTTTAACTCCTATGATCATCAAAAAACCCTGTGATCAATCTTTACCATGGGAACGTGTCCTGGCTATGGGCAGTTGCATTTTGCAAAGTGTTGTCTTTCCTCTAACATTTGCCTTGAAGAAGAAAGGTGCAACAATGGGAGTGTAAGATAAGCACATCAGTGCTAGCAATTTAACCTATAAAATGTGCCTTAGTGAAACAAACAATTTGTAACCAAAACGAAGATAAGCTATAAAGAATAATCCTAGAGCTTTGCCTTGAGGTATATGTAATGGGATGGACATGATGTAATTGCTCTTCATATCTTCTGGACATTGTCTCTTTGATGTGACCAATGAATTGGCCACTGTGAGCTGTTTGTGGGTTTATTTTCTCAGAAAAGTTAGAATTTACCTCTGCAAGTTCCCACAAAGTCTAACATTCAATCTAATCTTTAATTCTGTGGGTTTTTTTGGTTGTGTTTTTTTCTCCTTCTTTCTTTTTCTTAAACTGAGTTACTGAGTTACTGTCTTTCAGTGTTGTAGGATATGTTATTGAAGCTCTATACCTGTCACAATTCATTAAGGCAAAGCTGATCCATTGCTCAATCAGCTACAGGTAGCAGTCTGAAGAGTGCCTGCAGAGCCATCTGATTTCATTTACTCATTCATTGACTTTGTTCATGGAATGGCTGGTAGTCAACATGTATCTGGATATGGAGGTACAGGTTGCAGACTCCAGAATCCAGCTTGAAACTCCACATGTAGCCTGCAGGTGTGTCTATCCAGCTTGGGCAAGCTGGCACCAGCTCTGCCCCCACTGCAAGCTGGCTAGCAGTTGTGTAGCTGTGGCTACTGAGATGTTTAGTCATACCCTTTGTTCCTCAGCTGGACTTACTGGCATGGACTTAGCAACACCCTAATCATCCATCCGTGAGCTATACAGTTTCTGGTTCAAACATTATGTCTGAGCAGACACTGCAAGATCTAGTCTGCCAGAAAAAATTCCACAATACCTATGTCTACAACTGTACTAGTTGTGCATGTTCGTTTATGCATTTTTTGCACACTCACACAAGAAATAAATTTATCTCTTGGCTATCTGTGTCACAAGGAAATCATCCCATGTTCAGGTGTTTAAGTATTTTTCCCCCTACAAACTTGCAGGAGAACTTCAGATTCTACAGACCAACTCGTTGCAGGCCAAGAAGTTTCCAGGTAGTACTAATCCCTGGAAGAACATCTCTGCCATAGTCAGCTTGCACTATCAGCTCCTGAAAGAAGCCAAAATGTCTTTAGGAAGAAGTATTCTCTGTGCCTTTATGGAATCTGAGAAACTTAAACAAGGAAGTCTAGGCACTGTGAGAGTTGTTCAGGGACTGGAATCAAACATCACAGTGTTTGCCAGTAATCTTGTAATCATCCTTTGTCATGGTCCATTAGGATCTCTCAAATTTACAGGACAATATACTCTGTGAATTAAACTGTATTTTTTTCCCCATACAATCACATGGATTAAGAACGATGGGTTATAAGTTATGCAACCTTATGACTTGAAGGGTGAATAAATGAATTCATGTGATCGACTAGCCTGAGCAAAGGGGATGAAGCCCTGCTGTGTGTGTTTGTTATATTTCTTTATTAGCTCATGAAATAAAGTTTAATTCACAGAGTACATTGTCCTGTAGTTTTGAGAGATTCAAATGTACCGTGACGCTCTTAATGCGAGATGAAAAGTTAAAGTAGAAATAAAGGACTTATGCAATCCAAATATTGGCATTGCAGATATTGTTTCTGTACAACTGTCACTGAACCAAAGAGAAACATGACTATTTACCTCACAGCAGCTCCACAGGCATTTTCCTTAGTGGTTAGGTTCTTGCCTTTATCAAGTCACCAGAGTGCTGGTAATGGACCATGTCTTGGGTCCAACTCTTAAGAAAAATCTTAGTCTTATTCACATCTTCCTGAAGAGGATCTCAGTTTAAGAACGTGTTTGTCTCCTAAATCACTGAGAAATCTTCCCTGGGCTTTTACTTGCATTGAAATTTACCCTCTCTCCAGAGGTTTTTTTGGAATAGAACTTAAGCAGAGAGTTCTTTTTAACACTCTTTGTGCAGTATTAGTACCTTCTTTGAAAATATCAATGTCCCCTGGCACAAATGGAGGGGACACATTCTGTCCTGCTGTGCAACACAAGGCATTAGTGCCTGTGCTGATATTGACCCAGCAGGCTTGCTTTCTGTTTTAATCAGGGAGGTAGTGTTCATGCCTCAGCATCAAACCCCTCTTGTACCTAACTTGATATTGGCAGTTGTACAGACAAGTTTTAACTACAAGTAGATGTAATGGTAACTGATAGCTTTGGAATGGCAGGAAGTTGAGGGATGAATGGTGTCCAGTTTTGACCTTGAGACGTACCAGATCACATACCTTTAAAGAAATTTGCTGCAAAACCTGCTTTATTGATGGTTGCATCAGACGCAAACTTCATCCATACTTTATTTGAACTGGATTTGAGATCTTCTGGCTTCTCGTAGCCACAGAAGTGACCAATCAGTGGGCTGTATTCAGTAGGGCCATCTCGAATCTCCAGGTAGTCATAAGAACAAGTGTTGTGCCATTCAATCTGTAATGGGAAAAGGTTGTGCCTGTAGCTCCCTAGTATTGAGTGCTGTGAGTCACAGTAGCTACCCAGGTAGGCTTTGGACAGCTACCAGCCTCCAGAGGAGCATCCCAAGCACCTGGTCACAACGAGGTGCTTGCCTCGTGGCTGCCACCGAGCTCTCCTGCAGCTGAAATGGCATTCAAGGCCAGGGACATCTCAGTTCTCCTGCCATTTTAGGCCATCCTCTGGTGGAACCTGGTCCCTGACTATCGACCAGCTGCTGTTCCACGAGAAGCTGTAAGGAACAGCCCAGAATGACTACAAACAAAACTGTGAAAGGAACAGGAGGTACTGGTGTCATCCCTTTCCACGACAAACACAGTAAAGTGTGCACAAACAACATCAGCCCAGGCAATAGATGTGATTTATACACCAACCCAGGTCCTGCCCACTCCTGTCTGTCACTTATACATCACTAGTCAGAAACAGATCACTGGTCACCCAGCTAAGACTGTAAGATGTCCTATAACCAGTAGGAGGAAACCTTTTCTGAACTCTTCAAAGCCTATTTGCCATCTGTGAATGTGATGTTTCTTCAGAGTCACAAACATCCTGCAACCTGCCAAACCCATGTGACACCAACAAGAGATTTTTGCCTGGACTGTGACCAATTTCATTTGAGCAGAGTGAAAATTTAAGGGCTCGTGAATCCTTACTTAACATCATCAACAATTTTGTGCCCCTTCTTGCTGTCTAGAGTAACAGTTTTTGAAATCATATTTAAAACTTGGCTTCAGGGTCTCCAAGCAAACTTCTGGTGAAGAGAAATGATGTTCTGAAGTATTAAATAAAAAACAGAAACAAATTATTATGTACATCACTTCTTAATTTTCAAGAATCTACAGAGGCAAAATAATATCCATAATATAATACAGAATGACATTTCTCACCTCAAAGGCTTGGAATGTGATTCCTATGTGAAAGCCCTCAGAAACTGTGATCTTCCAGATGCACTCTTTGGAAGGTCTGTAGTCATCTGGGTAATTGGGAGATTGGATCTGGCCAGCATCTTTGTGAATTTCTCCACCACAAATAGCTTCATAAAAACAAACAGCAAAACCACAAGATTGCAGGTTTTTCCTTAGGTAAAGCCTGCTCCATACACAGCCTTCTTCCTCATTCAAATCTGTACCTCTTGTTACACAAAGGCAACACACAAGTTACAGAAATTTCTACAAATTAACATTTTGTCTTTGTGACAGTGTCTCTTTAATTCACTGGGGCAGAGGATTTTTATGGATTTGTGTGTTTCACACTCCTGGTCACCTTCTTAACTGCTTAAAACCTGATACCAGTAGGACCAAGAAAGCCTACTAAGGACCACAAAACCCAGAAAAAAACCACTCCAACCAACCAACCAAATAAAAAAGAGTTGCAGATCTAATGCAGCCACACGATGGCAATATTAACACGCATGAGTTGAGCTGTTCACCAGAAGACCATCAGGCTGATTGCTGTGTGTGAAAAATTGTTTTGTGTTTAATGCAAGAATGAGTAAGTTTGAAGACCAAGAACAGAAAATTTAATGAAAATCTAGTTTAATAAAAAACTATCAGAGACCTCAAAGACAACAGCAGTTCAGCATAACTGCCTCAAGACTGCAACAAATGTGAGCAAGATCACCAGCTAAAACGTGTGCTACCCCATGATGCACAACAACACATGTCTACAAAAGGCCTATGAATGTTTTGGCTGTGTTTAAAGTCAGGCAAACAAAAAGCACGGAGAGTAAGAACATGAGAGATGGCACTGCAATGACACCTGCCAGACATCAATTATCATTACCCTTGGGGTCTCCCCACAGTGCATTGCATTAACATTTTAGATGTGGGTCTCCCTATAGTGCCCTGAAAATTGCTTGCATTGGGTAGCGCTGTCTCGATTCTACTTTATAAGCTGCCAATGTTTAACTGTGACCAAGTTAAAAGCACTGTTTCACTAGTGCAGTGCTATCTTCTTGTGCAGAGAATCAGTGCTAAAGCACCAGCAAATAGTCACACTCCAAATTCAGCTGCAGGGCACAGTTTAGATTGTAGTTTGAGTTCATATATTCAGAGCCACTAGAGGTGGTGCCAGAGTGAATATTGGAGGGACCCTTTAAAGAACTGTCCCCACCTAACTGAAGGAGGACTCCAAGAGCAGATAACTGACAATTTTTTTTAACAGCATAAAGCTGTCAGCCAGCAAACAGTATTTTCTCTGTGCACTGCAGTAGTTCACACTGAAATTCAGCTGAGCGTCCATTACAGGAAGAGCCTTACTGCAAAATGGAAACAACATCTGCTGATAGAGCTTGAGAAGCCCATTCTGATGGCAAATGTGGGGCTTCCAGCAGTGCTGGCAAAGCCAGCAGCATCTTCCCATCTTGAATTTCATGAAAGAAAAGGAACAATATGACCAAACTACGAGGACACCACTACATTAACTATCATTTAGTATCAAGTAATTCTCCCATCATGTGGCAACACGCTTCTGCCTTTTTCCTCCCATCTACTGAAAATTTTAGGGCCGAGGCCTGGAGGAATCTGAATCCAAATACCAGTCCTCTCCCAGAGCCTCCAGTGAAGTTCATATGCATGAGTGTTTATATGCATTCTCACTAAAGCAGAGGACAGAAAAGCAGTGTTAAAACCCACTTTGGCTTTTCAGTATTTGAGGGAGAAGAGTTCAAAAGTAAAAGAGGAACTAACAGTAATGCAGAGAGGGTTTGGACAAAAATCGATAGAAAAATAAACATTTAAGGCAAATGTCTCCTGGAAATTCAAAATTAAAAATTACCCTTATTAGATATAGAATTCACAAAACAGGTGAGCAAGCTACCTGACAACAGAGGAAAGAAACAAGCCATTACTTGAGCTTGTATCTGTGGGAAATAGAGATTAAGGAAGATTTTTGAGAAAACTCCCATTTCAGCAAATATATAGAGAAATGAATATAATATCACCACCTGCTGCTCTGACAAGAGGAGGCTGAGCTAAGAAAAGAACTATGCAGTGGGCCATCACTGTTTCTCTGGTACAAGCTGGCTTCCACCAGTTATGCTCTGTGCTTGCTCCCAGGCTTAGCCATAGATTTCATACCTTTAAAATGGAAAGTTTCTTGCAGGAAAAGGTTACATAAAAAGCCAGTTTTGAAGAGGCAAGAAAATATGGACAGTTGGAGGGATGCAAAGTTTGACCACTAGATGCATGTTCTACTTTCATTTGGTCTCCTCAAAAGTCATGTCAACCAAGTTTTGCTCATGCTGACTGGATCTTTTGGGGCCTTTTATTAATCAACAGGAAATATGGAAAATTATCAAGAGAAAAAAGTTTTGCAAAGTGACTTTGGACAGTAGGCAATATAAAAATTTGGTTTATTTCAGTACCATTCAGTAATATGAAGCATGATGCCATATTAATACACATGATAAGGAACAGAAAAGTTGCTTCCCAAAGACATTCTTCACTTTGCTTTTTTTTTTTTCCTTTTTAAGTTGGAGCGCATATCACCAGGGAATAACCCACTGTAAGAATTAACCTAACTAGCCCTCCAAAGCAATAAGCCAAAATAAAAGTCTATTAGAGACATACTAGTTTCATCACTTCTGATTCCAACAAACTACCTTAAAAGGGGTGTTACAAACTACACAGTCCAGGCAACAGCTGCTGCTCAGGAGACATTAAAAAAAAACAAAGCACCAAATCAGGCAAGCTACCTCTGTCTCTGGGGCAACAATTCCTGCAGAAACCAGATATTTCTCCTGTGAAACAGATTTGTTAGCCCCACACTGTTGTGAAATCCTCCTATGCTTTATTTGCACTTCCCCAACAGTCTCCATTTCCCTCTGTTAGTATCATTATTCACGAGTAGATAGGACACTTGGGCATTGGGTTTCCAGTGTTATGCGTGTTCCTGTGGCTGCAGAAAGATGATGATGCAATGTCAGCACTGATACAGTCAACCTCAATACTGTTGACAACACTGGTATTTCTAAGAAAATGCCTGTTGCCCAGAAAACAAGAAAGGGTTTTAACACATATTAGAATCATTACTGTAAAAAAATAAGCATATATGGAGAAGGGATGTTACTGATTTGTTAGCGACTTTTGTGGTATTCTATTTCATAGTCTCCATCCTCTGAAGTAGTTTCAGTATCCCAGTGCCATGCAAGTTTCCAAAATACCTGACCTGCAGAAGATCTGACACGCTAATTTCCAATCTTATGAAAGTAAAACTTACAAGGCAGAAAACAAAACCCAAACTTTGCATTTGAAAGAAGGAAAAAAAAAAGAAAAAAAAAGGAAAAAAAAAAAAGACCCACATATATTTTCTGTAACTTAATGATCTGAAACAGATCTTTGCCTGCAAAACTACCAGAAGGAACTTCTGCTACACCTAGCACTGCTGCTTACAGGGGCTGGTTAAGGCAAACAGAACCTAACCTAGGAATGGAAGATATTGCTCTGTGCTATCAGACTTCTTGTTGTTCCCAAAATGTGATGATTCTGTTGGAAGATCCATGCCTTGTCTGCTGACCCAGCCTGCAAAATCTGCCAATTCCTATAAAAACAAGAGCAGGGGCTGTATCTAACCACGCAGTGAAGCAGAACTTCTGCTGATCCCATAAAAACCTGCATAATGTTCTGGCTGCTCCGTGCAAGGTGACAAACTTCTAGCTAAGGGCTGTACCTTCATAGACCACAAAGAAGCCTTTGCCCAGGATGTTACTGCTGCTCCGGAACTCGATCCACAGCCTGCTGTCCGTGGAGATTACAGGTTCAGGGATCTTGTCACCACAAAATCTACCTAGAAGGCAGAAAAAAGATGATCAAGATCTCCTGGCTGATGGGCAGCACAGTGTAGCAGGCACGTGTGGCTCCAGGAGGCAAAGAACAGATTCTTTAAATTGGTTCAAGGAGCTGTGCTTGTCTTAAACACCCTTTCGTTCTCACCACTTGTGCTTCTGAATGAGTTTCTGTCCTGCCCCACTCCCTCATTAATTAATATTCTTTTCAGTTATTAAATCAATAAAGGTTTTCTTCAGCTGGGAGTGGAACCCAGTAGTCACAGATGCAGCTTGCATTGCCCTGGTAAATTCAAGATGGCTCTTGTTTTGATCACATAATTGGGCGAATGAGCTGCAAGAGTGGGGAACCATCCCCTGTCCTTCTAGAGATATGAGATTAGGGAGAATTGCTTCCACCTGCTAGGCCTTGGAAATTCCTTCACCATTTTACACCCAAAAAGAAATTGTCCAAGTTAAACCAAGGGTAAGAGGTGACCACGCTGAGGAGAAAATACCTCTTATCTCAACCCCCACTTTCACCACTTCCCAGTTAATCCTCTACAATCATTCAACCTCTTTCAAGAAAAAGAGACCAAGAGAGTTCTAACACCATGGTATACCCATCTCGGAGCTCTCTGGCATGCACCAGCACGGGTAAATACCCAAACCCAGCCAGAAAGGATGAATCCTGAAACAGAACAGCTGCAGATGGCATCTGCAGCCCAAACCACCTCAGCAGCCCTCATCTGGTGCTCTTTTACCTGTTCCAGACAGAAACTCCTCATGGAAACAGAGCAGGCACCAACTATGCACTGAGAGTACTCTGTGCAAACTGTTTTTTTTTTTAATCCAGCTGACACCAGCAGGATTATATACTGAATTCAACGTGACCACAGCATCCTGTCCAACCCAATCCCCAGTGGAAACTTGACAGAGGCAGAGTGCAGCTCTTTGTGTTGGATTTCAGTCAGGACGGTGGTGAGAGGGATCTTGGCCTTGCAACACCAGGCAAAAGCTTCTTTGAACAACCCTCTATTTGGTAGCAACCTGGTTGCTACCTGGAAGACAGCACCTTAGGTCTCATTAGCAGGCTGCATTATTGGTTCCCTGCAATGAATAAGGAGACAGTTTGTCTAAGGCTTGTTGGCTGACTGGCGGAAAAGGTTGTTGCTTTTCATATGTATGGGGGATAAAGTAGTTGGCATGAATCTGGGGCATTAAAAGCCTAGGGACCCCCTGCTTAGTCAGCTGCCCACAAGTCAGCTACTGCCACTTTTGGCTCTGCCTGCCCCACCTGCCCCACTTGGCAGCCTTGGGAAGGCTATGACCTTCAGGGACGCAAGAGCTGTGCCTCTGTGACAGGCTAGTGAGGGAAAATCAGAAGGTGATTTTGTTTCTCTTCAACGTCAGTTTCATTGCCAACCTTTTTCTTTTGCAGAGTCACCCATCCAAATACTATCTCAGACCCTAGCTTTACTTGGCTACTCAATTCTGACCCCCTGTGCCTCCAAGCTTCCCAGCACTGTTGGGGCAGCGTGACAGCCCTGTAGCCTACCAATAGCATCTCCCATCTCCACTTCCAAAGCGGATGCTAACAAACAGCATCAGCACTGTAAAGCTCCTTCCTCTAGGGTCACTGAGCAACTGTCTGCTGGATTTAGACTTGGAGTTTAACAAGGATGTCAAGGAGAGGAAACGCAGATGAGGAACGAGAATGAGCAAACTCCTCAGAGTGTGATAAAAAGGCCCATTCATAAAAAGTTATACACCATTTAAAGGCTGCGTTTTCACACACTTGCCTGGGAAAATATGCAGCGCACATGTATCTTTTTCTCTCCCCAAGAAGCCTGTGCTTTCACAATTCACACTAATCCCCCTCCCCGCCCCCTGCTGAATTGCCGTCTGTCTGCCTCTTCTGAGATAATTTCATGGGCTCAGCCCCTTGCGGGAGCTGTGGCCACTCATGCAGTGTCTCCTTCCAGATGGAGCACTCAGGAGTCCACCTGCACTAGGGGGACAGGGAAGTGCTTGGCTTCTGAAATATCTTTAAGTTACCCAGCAGAAAACAAAAAAAAAGAGGACCTAAACTGCAGCTACTGGAGGAATGTTTCCTAATGCATGTGAAGGAGAAAAGAAAAATAAATGCTGCCAACCCCAAAACAGGCAGGAAGCAGTAAAACCAGCTGCCAACTCTGCACTGAAAGGCAGGCCCACAGAAACCTCTGGAAAGCAGCACAACTGCAGCCTCAGCACCTCACCTGGTACCAGGCTGGGACGTCCAGTGGAGCCAACAAAAGCATTCAGCTGTCCCTAAGCCCACTGACCCCACACTGGCCAGCCCAGTTCTGTGCTGCAACACGGGGCACAGCATCTCTAACACAGACAGTGATGCTACACAACCTGGTTGTTTCTTTCCTTTCAGGCAGTGCAGCATCTTGTATGTTGGGGTGCCAATGCTGGATGGATCAGAACCACTGGCAAAACTAGTGGGACTCCTGCCTGCCCACTCAGGGTGACAGAAGACTTGCAGCTATGATAGCAGGAGGCAGAGGGGACAGGGAAGACACAGAGCTTCACTTCCTTTAGATTTTTGGGAGCAGGAGCAGAGCAGAATATTTGCAAAGTCTGATATCCTAGGCATGGTCTAGAAAGTTCCCTGCTAGAATTATGCAGGCTCTAAGTACAGACCCCTGTGTAAATGCAAATATCTAAGAAATAATGGCAGGAGCTTTGACCAGGAGCTTAATTCTTACTGCCAGACAGTTCCAACCTGGTCTTATGGAAAAGCAATAATATAAGTCCAGAGACCACATTTTCAGTTCCAGCCATGCCCCTGGCTCCCTTCCCTCTCTGCCTCACTTCTCAAGCTGGAAAAAAGAAGGAATAAAGTTTTTGCTACCAAAGGTCTGGGAGCATGGATCATCTGGTGTGAATACAGCACATGGGCATCTCTGGATGGAGACATTCACGGATGGCCAGTGCACTGGCGAGATGTAGGCTCCTTCCAGGTACAGGATGATTTTCTTTCTGTTTCCCCATCCCCACTAAGCATCAAGAGGAACACACAAAATACAAATAAAACGAAACAGCTACTCACCCAGTAGTGGAGCCTTCCTCCAGTAGCCATCACGCACCTCCACGTAATCATACCAGCAAAGGCGACTTTTAAACAGGTCCATTGATGTGAAGTTTAACATAATCTGAAAGGCAAGAGTACATGTTTCCCTTTGAGAAAAGAGCTGCTTTAAAGCAAAGACCTTACAGATCATGTGCTTCATGCCTGCTACAGCTGCCTAAGTGAGTAAGCAGGAAAAGGCAGTTGGCTGAATATTTTCAATCTGCTTGTCTCAAAAAATAAAGGCTTCTCAAGATATTTTAATGAAACCATGAAAGTACACGACAGCAGATAACACTTTACTATCCATTCGGTAACTTACAGTCACTGTTCTTCAGTTACTGATGTGGTACTTTAAAAAAAAGCCTGATTTGTTTTGTTTTAAATTAGAAATGGAATCTTTTGGTTTAGGGTGAACATCATAAAGAAACACATTGTCCCAAAACACAGATGTTTATATGCCCTTATATGCCACATGCTTGTAAGAAATTAATTTGCTAACACATTTCCATAGTCTGACAATTACACCATCACTGTGGTCCAGTTAGGTTCAGAGGCTTTACTGAGCAGAGCATTAAAATTTTATTCCTTTGGTCTCTTTCCTCTGTAACATGGGCTACAGGTTTGGCTCTGGGCCTATGGAAGTCACTGGCAGGGTGTACTTGTGGCAGTTCTTATCCTTGCAAGACTTGACCCATGTATTAATTTACATCTATAGTCTGCCACAGAAACATCATTAGATTAAAACACTCTCCCCCAAAAGCCCTGACTGGATGTGCAGAGTGCAGTCTGTAACAATGGTGCTTACTTTGTTCACACTTTTGGAGTTTTCTGAGTTTTGACAGCAAAAGGAGATTCATCTGTTTCTCTGCAGATGAATACAAGCCTCATACCTGTTCTAACGTTTCAGTGTTAAGATACTACTTTGTACCAATTGCTGCATTTGATAAAACAGGTAAATTAAAGCAATTAATCTGGAGCTGTGTGTCTGTTTTGTTTTGTTTTTTTTTCTTTTAACATGAGTGGTTCAGCATTTAGATGCTGGTTCCTATCCAACACAACTCTTCAAAAGAGGCTGAGAAACAAATGGAGAATTTACAGTAAGATTCAAACCACAAAACTCCCACTGCCATAGTTTTGAAATCTGGACAGCTCTTGGCACCTCTGCCCCTGGCAAAACTCTTCTTGCACTTAATGGCAGGAGTTCAGCAGTGTGTAGGACTGAGCTTGCAAGTGACAGAATTAAGCCCTAGGGCAAGACAGCTGCTGCAAAATTAGCAAGCTCTGATATTTTTTTGAGTCTAATTGTGTCTCGAGGGTGGCTCCTCAGCAAAGCCACTCTGCTGAGGAGCTCTCAAGCCAGGCTGCGCATTCTTGCAACCTGGTACAGCACGAAAAGCCTGAAGAGCTGATGTCAGTGGATTACAAAAAGATTTCATTTCTACAGGAAGATAAACAGAACCAAAAGAGCTGGAAAGAAAGTGGAGTGACTTTCCAGAGAAAGGTGTATGACTAATAGGCAGTGGGTCTCAGTGTTTCAAGGCAGGGGGGAAAAGTCCCCTGACAGGAACAATTATCCCTACATGACAGGGGCAGGCCACTGATGTCACTCACAGGTCCTCAGCTCCCTTTGGGACCTTTGCTTGCTGGCATGTTTTATCTAACTCATCTGACTGGCAGCTGGGTCTGAAAGGTGAGCTCTGCTGGAGCTAGTGGGTGGCAGGAAATCTCCATGCAGAATTCAGCCTTGAATCAGTCAGAGATGAACACAGCCCAGACCCACTCCACCATTATCTCTTCTCCCCTCAAGACCACGTAATCCTGACCCCATCTTTAGGAGGGCAGCAACGGTGCTCAGAAACTTTTCCAAGCTCCATCCCAGCACTCCAGGCATGCAGTGATCTTCTGGGAGCTGTTGTCACAGGCAAAACTACATGCAAGGAAGCACAAAGTACACTCTGTGCTGGTGTGGCACCTACCTTTTCCCCTGGGGTCACCGAGATCCTCCAGACACAGTGGGAATAGGAGGGGTAGCCATTTGGAAAGCCAGGGGCTGAGAAATTCCCTGTTGAGTCCTGCAAGGTCTCTCCACAAGCTGCAGGGAGGCGGGGTGGGGGAAACAGCAACAAGGAGTGATTCTCTGAAAGACATCAGGGTCTGCCAAAATGTTTACACACAGCTGCTGTGTGCAGGTTGGTGGCTGGTACTCTAAGCAGATTCATTCACGGTACTGGCCAAAAGTCATTGACTACTAGAGACCTTGCCAAAGGGGTAATGTAAAATTTGTCAGAACTCCCAGGATAGAAGATGATTAGCACAAGGACACAGGGGAAACAGCTTTTAAAGAGGCACCCTTCTTCCTTCATCTCTCAACCCTACTGAGGAATACCTCATCCACTAATCAAATGCAAAATAACCTGACCCCACCTTGCAACTCCAAGACTGCTGTCAGCAAATCCGTTTTCCCTTCATTACAAGCTGCTCGGTGAAGTTCTCCTTAGTTACCATTGTTAAGTGTCTTTTTTAGGGGGTTAAAACATCCTAACAAAAGCAGGGCAAGCCCCACTGCCCTCATGCTTCAGCTGTGCAGCACCTACCCTGCTGCGACACTGCGCAGGACAAAACGCAAGCACTGCAGCTCCCTCTGCTCTGCTCTCCAACATCCAATTTTTGTGGCCTGCTGCAGTTGATGAAATGTAGATCCCAGAGCGACTTTTGGGAAGCAAGTGATCTACACACATGTATGCTCCTTTAGGGAACCACAGCTTCCAGCATCTGGGAAAGCCATGACTACTGTAGTTCCTGCTCTCTGAGCCAGGAGGACTGAGCTGGAACACGGAGTGACCATCTACATCTGCAGAGTAGCTGAGTGGATAGGTGGGAGGATCACAAGTATTGAAGCTCCAGTTTCCTTCAGAGTGTTCACAGAGTAGACACATTTTATTGCAAAGAGCAGGGACCTTGGCTTGCCTGCTTTCCAGTTGTTTTTCCAGTTTCATAACCTGCTGATGTTATAAAGCTGCCCTTGACTTGCAGCTTGGTTTCCTCAGTGACGGTAAGGCAGCTTCCAAAAATCCCTAATTAAGAAGCAGTGCTTTGAAAGATCCAACAAGGCTGAACATCTGTCTCCCTTTCTCATGGAAATGCCAGGGGATATTCCCCTGCCTGAGCTATCACATACTCACTAATTTTTCAGCCATGATTACATTTAGATGGGCAGGTCGGAAGCTGGAGGTGAAAAGAGACTGGTCCCATTCAAGACGTTTAATCTTCAAAAAGGGAAAAGAGGGTCACCTAGGCCAGAATTTCTTGATTAACCTGCAGTAGTGTGATCCACAGCTTGGCAGACCAGACTAGCTGAACAACAGGCAGGGACACACAACAGGTTTTTGCCCAACCAAATTGCTCATAGGAGTTCTCTGGAAGGTGGAGTCACTCCTAGGAACAAGCTGCACATATTTCAAGGCACAGGTCAATATGGGATCTGCCAAAGTCATTCCTATCAGGAAAGCCAAAGATATTTTAAACTGCTAGAACAAACAAACAAACAAACACTGAGCACAACAGGCAGGTAAATGCACACATCTGCCCCAGAGGAATGAAGAAAATAATGAAAGGTCAAAACCTTTGCATTGCTTCTTCCTTCTCAAGCAGTTAATAGCCCTGAGAACTCCCCCTCTACCATTATGCAGTTACAAAGGAACATTGCACAACAAGTTTTAGTTTAAAATCTTCAGAAATAGCTAACAGGTTCCACCTCTCCTGCAACAATTGGCGGGGGATGTTGTCTGTATTCTTTAGAGGGGCAGAAAGAGATGCTGTAAAAAGCGATGACCTGCATGAACTGGAGCAGAAATCTGGACTTCTATTTGCAGAATAATTACACTTTCTTCCTTTCTACCTCTCGCCAAGATGCTTTGCCTTGCATCAGAATCTGTTAGGATAATTCCAGCTCTCAGTACGCTCCCCGTGCCCTCAACCAGGAAATGCATGCTGCCCCAATAGATAAACATCTCAAAGAAGCTGACTTCCAGCCATACTTATTCTGAGGTCAGCAAACCATTCTTCAGCTGATCCTCTGGCATCATCACAGATCAATACATGGTCTGGAGTGGTCATGACCTTAGGATGGCTCTACGAATGCCAACGCCTGACAAGGTGTCCCAGTAAAAAGGGGATTCCAATTCACAACTCACCAAGATAAATAGATGTTCTTTTTCTCTGCTCAAAAATCTTTTTAAACCTACATGAAATGTTAAAAAGAGCTCTAAATCACTGGGAATACATACTGCATGACCATAATGACACAGGACAAAGAGGATTACTGCCCTCAGATGAACCACAGCGAAGGTTTCCAACAGCCCAGACTTAATTCTCCTAAGTGTAATTACACAGTTCCTGGCAAGACTATGTAATTATGGAAAAAGTACTACCATATCTACCACTCAGTAGCAAAGAGCCAACAGGTCCAATAAGACTAGTGTTTGGTACTTCTGGGATCCAAGAAACTGAGCTGAGGTGGTTTTTGCCCATGAAAAGGCTGTGGCATACATAAGCAGCCAGAACAGAACAGAGGTGAAAAGCAAAGTAGAAGGTAAATGCTTCAGAAGACATTTTTATCCGAAGTAGTTGAGTGATAGGCACTTACTTTTCATCAGCTGGTTATTAGTACACTACATCTTTCTGAGAATGCAGAGAGAATTGTATAGGATGATGTAATGAAGGAACATTCTCAATTTATAGTTTAACTATTCCTGCATAGTTAGCACAGCCACACAGGCCTGTTTCCTTCATCACAGCATAAGACAGCAGGATGTTCTGGTTTTGAAGTCTTTTGTATTAACTATACTCATCAAATCCTCAACCATGCAACATATCAAATCTAGCATTTACAACTATGTAGCAGAATGCATCTTGCCTTCCAGAAATTCTTTCAGCAGATTTCATTTGGTTTCATCTGACTTAACACTAACTTTAACCCAGCAGGTATAAGCTTTGGGGAATTAAGAGCAATTTAAAACAGCAGGGTTCTAGAATGGAAAAGCTAAGCCAACCCCAACTGTAGCAGCCACAAGGACTCAAATCTAATGAGTTGGAGAGACCTGTTTCTTACAATAAAAGCAGCAATCACTCTGGCTCCTACTAGTGCATGCTTGTAACACATCTTCCACCATGTTAGTGCTGTTTTGGGGGAATTTTCTCTGGCATTTTCAGGTGGGGACTCTCTTTCTAAAAGGGAAACCACCTACCATTCACTTTCTGGATTATGTTGTTGCATTTTACCTAAAAAGCCTCAGCTTAATTACTGAACAAGTCATCCTCAACCTAAAGTCTCATTCAAACTCTTCTTAAATATACAAATGAAGTCCTTTGGCTTTGAACTCCTGTGCTTTGCATTTTGCAGAGGAAGAGTTTTCAAGCTACCAATACAAACAGCATCTTAAGAGGTTAATGCCATTAAATATACCACACCCCTTCTCTTCAGATGCAACCTGTGTATAAATTTTGATGTGGGAAAAAAAGAGGAAACAAAACTAAAACAATATATATTTGAGGAAATTTGCTTAATAGGCTTAAAACTCTAATCGTGCAGCTGCCAAATATGTTCTGAGCCTCTGCTAAAGCTCTGTAGGAAAAAAAACCCAAAACACTAAACAGTAAAAAAAGTTCTATTTTGCAAATAGAAAACCTGAGACTGAGAAAGGTCTTAATTTTAAAGAAAGTTGCTTTGTAGCTTTTAGTTCAACTTAAACCTCAGGCCAAAGTCGCTTTTCAGCTTGCCTCAAGAAATCTGAATTTTTAGTCAATGCTTCCAGGTATGGGAATGAAAAGCCTGCTTGGATTAAGTCCAACTCAATGAAAAAAACATGGTGCAAGACATTCCTCATTTTTTGTTGTTGTTGAGTAGTCAAATGAATCAATCCCTAAACTAATTAATGAGATAATTTTTCAAGAACTACAACTTGTTCAACAAAAACAGAACAACCAGACCAATCCAAAACCAGTCCAGACCAAACCACTTAAACTTCTGGGTCACGCTTGCAAAAGACCTTTATTTTGTCCCTGCATTACTACAAATGCCACAGAGTAATTCTACAAAATTAGGGCAACCCTCTCATCCTCCCAGTATTTTCTCATGGATGTTTCATGACCTGCCGAAATTCAACAGAGCTTATTAAGTTTTCTATCTCCTAGCATCACACCTCTCCTGTTGTCTCCCTTCTCAGTTGCTGCAGTCCATGCCACAGGCACTAGACTGGATGGCATCTTTACTTGAAGCCTCTCTTCACATCCTCACATTCAACCTGTCCTTCAGCCTGGTAGATTGCTCCTCTGAAATCTGATTTTCTCTATTAACCTGTTCAGCTAAACTGTTGCATAAAAAGGATTCTTTTGGTCTGATGGGTAAATTTAGCCTCTTGATCATATTTGTGACCCCAACGCTCTTTACACCAATCTTTTCAGACCCCATATAAAGTGGGACCCAGACTACTGGTCCTTAGTATGTGGATGGGTTCTGTATCAAAGCTGTGCCCAGTCTATCAACCCTTTGGCAGCAAGAAGAGGGATACAACCTCCCAAAAAAACAGCCCAAAGCACCAGCTTCCAGCACCCACTTGTTTCACAAATCACCATCTTCAAGCTTTCTTCCACAGTATTTCCCAAGCTTCAGTGCAACACACCATAATTGCAGAGATGCAGGGGTTTTTTTAAGGCTCATCTCTGGGCCAACAACTATATAAATAACAGAAGTTTGATGGTTAATGATCAAGTCAATCAGATAGAGATCCCTAGAGATTCCAGTCTACCAGCTATCTCTGCCACTTTGGAAACTCATAGTCTCCACTCTGTACATGGTCGTGTACATCAACCTCATTTTCTATGAGCACAGCCTACACTGGACCAACCTGAAGCCTCAAAACGAACAGTAATACTGGCAAAGTACCAACAGGAGACACATATTTGGCAAGTTAAATTCTCCCACACCTCCAGCCTGAAACATTTGACGGTCTACCTTTCCTGAGTTGCTTTCATCAAAGGGATTGTTGAGGTGCTCTTGAACTCCAATGCCTTCCAGACAAGCCATGTGTCTACAATAAAGCTAGAGCCATCTCCACAAGCCATATTTACCTGGGCATTTGTACAACTTCCTTGCCTGAGCGATGTCTCCCTGACTCAGGCGAATACGCTGACCAATAGTTGGCCGGACCCCGTTATCATCGCGGCGGGGAAGGATGGTGTCGAGGAAAACCCCTCTAAAGGGAAGAGCAGACAGACAAAAAATAGTGAAGGGACACAACGCACAATGCAGGCCTCCCACACCATCCCCATGACCACGTATCCCATGCTAAGAAACAGAAGTAATGCAGATTGTGACAACTGCATGTCTTGAGGTTGCCTTCTGGCTGTACTAGATAGCTTCCAATGTACAGGCAAGTCTGTGAAGCCAGTTAATTCCTCTTTTGATAGATAAAGATTGCTGTTGCCTCTAAGCGTAGACACATTCCTTGCCCTTAATCAGAAAAGGCAATGAAATATTCTTCTAGAAGGTTCATTGCACATCTGGCTCAGCAGGAGCAGAGATTGGACACTTAAGGCAAAGGAGAAGAGAGAAGGGAAGTTTGTTCAGTAGCAGATGGTGCTGGGCTAGCAGTGACTGTGGTTGCCACAGATGGGAAAAAGATCAAGTGGTCTGCCTTTGTTCTGCATGAGTATTTAAGCTAATAACGCCACTTGTCTCTGCCTCCTTTTCCTCATTACTATTTCTTCCATGTGGCATTTCATCCTCAGGGCTCTCTGCTACACTTCTGATCTCAGTAAAGGATTTAAGCTTGGGCCTCACTTCCGTCAAGATGCAAAGTCCAAGAAAAGGCTTGCACACAAGAGAGACTCCAAGGCACTGTTAGGACTGCAGGGCTAAAGTGAGGTTGATAAAGTCCAAGCTCTCACAGCCAGGCTGTCCAGTCCACAGGAACCATTTCACTGCACCCCTAAATGCCTAACAGGCTTGGAGGTGCTAAGGCAAACAGTGGGCTTGAAACTTCCACGTCAGCTCAGTGAGGCTCATTTCTCTTTCTGAAGGAGAGGATACAACTGTCAGTAGAGTCCAATGGGAAATGAGGACAGCAGCAGTAATTTTAGAGCTGCCTAGTCCTGATACATGAGTTTTCAAGTATGAGCTAAGCTCTAAGTACACAAGTAATTCTGTTCATTGGGCTGCTCAGCTGCATGAGAGCTTTGGGAAGGAGTTTGAGAGGATTTTTTTGCATTGGTTTAATTTTAAATAAATACTGCAAGCAGAGTATTTTGATCACAGCTGTCCAGAGATGCAGTCAGTATTCTTGAGCAGAAAATATCATTCTATTAAACATATTTGGTGAGCAAAAATTCTTTTGTAAATATTCGCACTGAAGGAAGAAATAGAGTGGAAGGAATTTAATCTGTTTTAAAAACTAGAATCATTTCTTGCACACTGGATTTTTTTTTTTCTTTTTCAGTGGTAGGAAAACTGATCAGCATTGAAATCAGTGCTTACAAGCTCTGAGGTTAGCCCATCAAATTACGATGGACAAATTCAGGATGGCATTCTACATGCCAGCTGCATGCCTCAGGCTGAACTTATTCAAGTTTATACATCAAAAAATAAATTCTCCAATTCCACAAACATAATGAACAGAGAAACAGGTCTGTTTGTTCACAGTAAGTTTCCAAGCCCCCCAGGAATTCACAGAAGAACTCGGCTTTGGCAGGGACATACTTCTGTGGCCAGTGAAATGCCTTCTGCAGATCTCCAGGCTCAACAGGGAAGAATGACAAACCTCTTTAATAGAGAACCACTTGCATGTCCAAACATTTGATTCTGTCACCCATTCCAGTCCTTGCAACTGTGTACTCACAGTCCCAAGCCTTCTGCACATAGAATACACCTAGAGCACTGCTCACACAATACAAACAACTACAGCTTCAAATTATCCTTGTTACCTGTCCAATGTTTTCTTCCAGAAAGCAATACCCTCTGTTGGGGCAGTAAGATTTGTTGTTTTGCTTTTTCCACCAGCTGAATTCTGTACCCTCTTCACATGCCATTGCTGTACACAACTCCAAATTCAGAGGTGGGAAGTACAGTTCCTTTCATTTTACAAAGGAACTGAGAACAAAGAAGAGTCTCTTTCTGGCCTAAACCACATAGGTCCCAGCAGTCCCATGCTGTCCATCAAAACCCCACCTGCTTAACAACACTTAAGATGTTAGGTTGCACATTTGGTGAGCGTCTCCACGAGCACCAATACCTTGGCTCACAAATTCATAAACACCAAGCAGATGTCATTAAACGGAGCAGCTCGGGAACTAACACCAGAACCATTAGAATTAGAGATCCAGTCTCTCCTCTCAGGGGCAGGAAAAGAACCCAGGAACCCTGGATGCTCCATTCTCCTGCTGTCCACATATGGGCAGAAGCTGCCTACATCAAGCACAACCCACTGTTGCTACCAGATAAGAACCAAGTTTGAGAAAAGATACTCTTCAAGAGTCATTAGTATCTACATAGTACCCTGAAGGTGTAAACCATTGTCCAAGTATTTTGAAATTATCAACTGACCTTGAGAAATCCTGACCATTCACTGTCCAATCTGAGGTGCTTAAACACTGCTCAAGAAAGTGGATTTTCAAAGCAGGTTAAGCACTCAGCTGCAGGCAACTATATTTTGTCCCAACTCTGTATTTATAGCCCCACGTGCAGAAGAGAGTCAGCATAACTCTGCACAGTAAAGCCTGTAGAGGATGTCTAAATGCCTTGTGCAGGATTAAGATGGTGTGTTGCAAAAACACCAAGAAGATGCCCCTTGACATGCAGGCAGTGCTACCTGCACCCTGATTCAAACATGAGCTTTGCAGAGGTCATGTTTTGTAACTCCAGCCTGTGCTGCCATGCCTACTAGCAAGAAGCTTAATGAATTAAAGTAACCCACTATTTGCTCAGGGCTCTATGGAGTTTTAAACTTAAATGGCTAAGCTGCCATTTATGGGTCTTGACAGCTGTAAAAGAAATTGTTTAATGAGACAGCAATTTTCAGTTTAATTTGCTGCCATGTCTGTAAGGAATGCACCAGGAAATAAAAGCCTGCAGAGCCACACTCTGCAAAACAGGCAACTTTCTGACATAGACAAGAACAGAAGTTTCCATGGTGAAAACTTGTTACTGTCATTACAGTCTCTTGTGCTGTACTCCTAATTCCTATTAGCTACAAATATACAAGTGAGAAATGTGTTTCATTGTGAACTGAAAATGAGAAGTGACTCCTACAGTAATTTTCAAAAGCACCACTGGAAACAATTTCCACTGCTAGGACTCGTGTCTCAGAAAAACTGTCCCGTTCTGTTCTAGGTACAAAGTTTTAGTCTAAAAGGGCCCAGGATTTGCAGCAGCACTTGACCACGGCAAACGCTAGATGATATCAATATCCACAGGAGTTCTAAACAACAAGGTTGTGCCAAGACTTGCTACAAGACATCAAGTCACAGACACTGTCCCCTTCACCTTTTCCTCATTCACATGCCCCATATCTCTGCTGTTGGGGTGCTCATACCATCATTTTCCTGGGTGGACTTTCTGGTGTCTGCTAATGTATTAACCCACACACTACAGCCCTTCCCTTGCAGGGTCACACGGGGTCTCTATTCCATTCCTAGCCACTGATCTCAATGAAACTCACTGGAACTTAATATCTTCATGGGCTCTATGCCTTTGCTAGCCTGGGTTGCAACTGGCCAGCACCTGCAAAACTCAGTAAGGTGGGAAGGAGACATGCATACCCTCACAACTCTCTCCTGCTCTGTTAAAGTAAGCATCGTTCCCTTAATGGAGGAGATGTCAAGACAGGTCTTGGTAAAGTAAAAGCCTGTTCCCAGCACTGCCTATTTACAGTGAGAGCACAATCAGCACACAGAGTCACTCAGTGCTCAGTTCAATTACTGCACAAAGACTGCTACCAGGGTGAGGGTGGGTCACAGAGACAAAGACCTTAAAGAAAACAGACTTAAAAATCCTATTAAGCATCAATTTAAATTTAGAAGGACTCTTGCCATTTTTATCCCCTTTGGCCCAGCAGTGTTCTGAAGGACCCTGGTTTTCAAGAGACACAGACTCAAAGGCATCCACAATATAAATGGCAGTAATAACTTAATCCTGCTTTTGTGCAAGACAATTCTAACCATTTAGAGTCTAGCAAATGCTGGAAGGGTACAGCAGATGCCTCAAGGGAAGAAAAATTGTTTGCTTTGGATATCTGATCCAAAGAAATCTCTGAAGGCTTCAAAGCACCCTTGCCCAGACACCCTCTCCTCCTGACAGAAGCAACAGCATTTCACCAAGTTTGATAATTTTCCCTTGGTTGATGTGAAGCCTCAGAAACAAAAGCACAAAACAGTAGGCTTGGTATTTCCACACAACTTGGGAGTAAGAAAATTTAAAAAGCACCAAAGACACCTTTAGTTTTTCCAACAAAAGGTTCTCAAGAGTGTGAATATTTGCACTCCGCCTCCCATCTCCTTAGCTCATTGTATGTAATGACAGAAAGCTCTTGGGAAGAAGCAATAGTGGGATTTATGGAAAAAAAAACTTCAAATAATGCAGCAAAATGAAACTGGTCATCCAGCAACGCTCATTCCAAACCCAGGATGTAAATAACTACGGTCATCTCATTTCTCCATCCTGTAAAGCTGTCTGATCAGAAAATGGGCTCAATCTAGAGGGAGGAGATGGGGAGTCAAGAGCAAACACATAAAAATTAGACAGTTAGTTGGGACAGGAATGGGACTGAAAACTTCTCCAGGAAGAACTCAGTCACACAATCACAGATCTGCAGAGGCCATGACCTAAAGCACATGCATAAATGGTTAAAAAAAATATCCAAGTAATTAAAGATCATGATCTAGAGTTTAAATTCTCCCTTGACAAAGTTGCTAGGGATTCTGAAGGCAATACTGTGACTCCAAAGCGTGATCTGGACAACCAAGGGATTGAAAACTGGTTTTAGCATTATGGTCCTTGCACCTGGGCAGAAATACACACATACACGTATGTGCTGCCTGGGAAGGTTGCAAAACATGCTAACATGGCTTTGGAAGGTCTCAGATTATCAGTGCTGTGAGAGAAGACTGGGAAGGGGAAAACAAGAGTCCAACATACTTCTCTTTATGCACCTTGCTTTTTTGAAATGTTTTCCAAGCTTTGCAATGCAGCAGAGCTCACTGCAACTGCCACGTATCTCTGCAAGAGATCACAGGACTCCTCCTAGCCTCCACGTATCCCACAGAGCCAATCATAACTGCTGAAAATAGTCCTAAGGACGTGCAACCTTGGATTATCACCTGGAGAATGTGTTCCTAGCATAGTGCATGATGCTGTCGAAGTCATAGGTCTCTCCCAGTGAGTTCACTTCCCCAGCTTCCATCTTTAAAAAGTTGTACTCCTGACCTGTGATGCCAAACACAAAGAGAAAAAACCCCAATAACTTAAAAAAAAAAAAAAAGCTTTCCACCTCTGGGAGCCTAAAATGAAAAGGATATAGTCCAACATTCCAACAATTCCAGCTGGACATCCAAAATCTCTATTCACCCAACTATTTTGACCTTTACTCTAGGCAAGGACTAGCAGCAATATTTCTTCTTTTCCATCTCAGCTCACAGACCACTTGGGTTTTCCACAAGTCCAGCAAGAAAGGTTTCCACCCACCCAAAAGCCAGGTGGAACAACCCAAAGTGCTGTTTTACCTTGCTGTATGTTCTCCCTGATGATCGTGACGTGCTGGTCCCTGTCAGGTCGCGTGTGCTCATGCCAGAAACCCACCACATGACCCAGCTCATGAGCCACAATACCAAACTTGTCACAGTTCTTTCCAATGGATATAGCCTGAGGGCCCCCTCCTCGGCGACCCACGTATGAGCAACATCTGGAAAAGAAAACCCACAAACCCATGCAGCACATCAGTGAATTGAGAAGGTCTGAGACACAGAAACAGAGGATGGCACCCAGCAGAGTCCAGGGCAGGCCAGCAGTTGCATACACTACATGTACTTGCATGTGTGTGTCTCTGTGTGCATATAAAAAAAATACATAAGTGCATATTTATAAAAATGAGTATATAAACTTAAGTGTTATTCCAGGAGAAAGAATCCAGACAGGTTTAGCAACTTCTTCTGAGCAAATACAAAATTATCCTGGCAGTCCTCACTGCAAGTGACCAGATCCATCTCTGTGACAGGTTCTCCCACGTAGCCATTGGCCTATTCTGACCAGAGCTAGACTTACAAAGCCACATAGCAATGAAAAGGATGTTTGCAACACAGACAGCTACAGAGAACGTGTGTCACCTACCCACATGTTCTGTACGTGAACACAATGAAACTCTCTTCATCAGTTCTCTCCACAAACGTCACACAAGTGTGCTTCTCCCAGTGCCTCATTGCTTGCTTAAAGATAGCTCTTTGGGTTCCTGAAAAAGAAATCCAAGAATAGCAAAGGGTGAAGGCCTGATTTTCACAAAAATCTTTAATGGACTTCATCTGGATAGGGGAACAGTTAATCTTTCCAACAGTCAATCTTATATCTGTAGACAACTCTAAGAATCTGAGACCCACTTCCAACTATAGCATCGACTCACTGTACCATCCTTTGCTCTCTTTGTGCTTGAAGAATTAATGGCTTTAATTAAATAGGCAGTAAGCTTGGTTAAGCACATTAATATTTCTGCATATGGGAAATGTCACCTCATCAGATACTGGTCATTCTGACAGACCTACAGGATGTTCTAATTTGCACACCAGCTACTCAGCGGTGTGCCAAATTTGCTCTCAGGATGCAATGTGACATGACCACACACATTTTTCAATCTCATGAAAATTCGGGAGTCTCACGAGGGCTACAGATGCTCCTCAAAACTAAGGCAAAGCTGTTGTCAGGCAGTTTATATTTCAAATTAGAAGCAAAAACTACGTAGGAGCTACAGGCAGTCTCGAGGCAGTGTAAGAAGGTGTAGGGACACGCTGTCACTCTGTGCTCAAACTGAGAGACAGCTCAGACCTTGAACAGAGACACCTGAGAAGTAGGGTATGATGTCTGCTTCACACTAGCAAGACAGGTCACAGAACACTCCTTTCCCAGGGAGTGGGGGTACCTCCAGCAGTTACTCAGCAGCATCTGCAAGAGCCAAACAGCCAGCCAGGAAGCAATGCCCCAGAGTGGTACCCAGCCTCAGGAGGCTTCCCTACAGTATGGCCTTCCCATCAGAGCTGCTGGCACACACAAGGATGCAGAGCAAGCTGGCACCTTCAAGAAGGACTAGAGAGTGGAGAAAGGCCAGAAGAACATCAGAAAGGCAAACCAATACAAAGAGGAGCTCCAGGGTGGGATTAAGCTGGGGTAACATACAAAGCTGAATGCAAGACAGAATGATGCTCTGGCAAGAGCTGCTTCTTACACGGTCACCCAAATGGAAGGTTGGTGTTACCTGCTCTGGACTGGTTAGAACAGTGGGACACATGTAACACACCGAAACCTCTCTCATCAGAACCTGAGGGATGGGGAAGGCTGTTGACTGTCAGATGTGAGGGGGCAGCAGTGGCTAGCAGACTACTCAGTATCTTGCCAGGTTGCATGAGCTCCTCCTCTTGTAGGAAGTGAACAGGCTCTTCCACTGGAGCTTCACCATCTCCTGGCAGTGGTGTGGGTGCTGGGACAAAAGTACCTCACTGAAGGCCAAGTGAATAAGGTCTGCTGGATCTCTGTGGGAGATGGTGGAGGCAACTTGGGGGAGACAGGAAGGAGCTGGGTCCAGTGAAGCACAGAGTATTTGTCCTCCATGAATCAAGGACAGTAATCCCATGGGGAACCACTGAACTATGGAGAGGTAGTAGTACAGCAAGTTGTCTGTCTGCTTCACATGACACACTTGCAAGAGATCTGCTGCACTCCAAGAGACATATTAGTTTGGGCAGTGCCCAAGAGATGCTATGAAGATCCCAAAAAGGATACTCTGGAGAGCTCCACATCCACCATGGAACACAGCTCACTGTTCCTGTCCCTCACACACCTAAAGGAGACTCTGAAGTTTGCTGCACAAAAAACAGCAGGTCAGAAAGCAGAGTGTACAGAGAAATTCTCCCAGTGGGAGTTCAGAAAGCAACTCAGGATACTTCCACTCCTGCTCTTCCAACAGAGACTACCCCTTTTTGGGCTCACAGGGGGTGAGCACAGCTCTCAGGTGCTGGCCTCTGAGGCAACTGAGAAGTGACCAAGTCACCCAATTTTTTTCTTGGACTCCAAGAGAACCATCTCATGGCACACTTCAGTCTCAGGCTTCCACAGTGCACAATTCCTTATGCAAACACATGCCCACCCTGCCTCAGGAGAGAGGCTCCCAAGCACTCGAGTCATTCACAGGAAAATGCTGCTCCCAAGATCTCCCCCACATTTTGAGACACTCAGTCCTGAGCAAACAGGGAGCAATGTTTTCACTACTGACCAGTGAAATTTCCTCCGATCACATAGGGGATGACCCCCCCTGGCCAGATCCTCTCAGCCCTGGATGTGGTTGCCCTGCGCACTCTGGGAGAGGAGGGTGTATCCATCCCAGCCTCATCTTTATATTCCTCCTTCTTCAGTCTCCTCCCAAGCGTTGTGTTCTGCCTGCCGTCTGCAAGACAGAGTGGCAACACTGTTTAAATCCTCTTTAGTTCCATGTGCAGCCCTCAGGTAACACCCTGGAGCTTCAGAAAAAGAAAAACAGAAAAAGCAAGATGTTAATCCAAACCAGAAGCCATTTTCAGAGTTACCAGTGATTTGTTTGTGACTTCTGTAACAAGCTGACCTTTCTTGTCTCAGAAAATCCATCTGCATTATGCCAAACCTTTCCTCCCAGAAAGGTGTGAAGGGACACCCCCTCTCTCTCTAGCAACCCACTGTTTCCAACAGCAAATTCATAGATAGGGACACAGTACTCAGTGGGAACAGGAGGAGGAGGGTCAAACAAGCCTAGAAATCATTGTGTATTTTCAACCTGCCTGACCCATCCTGATCTGTAGAGAAAAGTTTGTTCCACCAGGCCTAGCAACAACTGCTCACTCCAGTTGGCCTCAGAAGAAGAGGACAGGCCCCTTAAACTGAAATCTATACTCAAGGCTAAAAAGTATTACATAAAAGTGTTTGTTTTCACATACTAGGTTCCTCTGTGGTTTGGAAATATATACAGGTCAGACAGTCTCTGCTGGAGGAGGGATGCTTAGGGTGGAAAAGCTGAGGCATTCTATACATAGCTCCATCCATGCTGAATCTCTTCATTTTAATGAAAAGGAACAAAAATACAAAAGGGAAAACAAAACATGTCTCATTTCCTGCTAAAAATGCAGAGAAGCCCTGGCTGTATGGTGCTCTGTGCTGGTCATAAAACCTGCCCGAGGGTCCACAAGGTACAGGCAGACCCAGAACCTTTTCCTGGATCTGTGCTGCTGCAGCTCTGCACAGATACTGCTTATCCCTACACAAGTTGCACTTCTAACATGATATAGGTCTGACCCAGCAGAAAAAATCTCCCATTCAGACCTTTCTGGCTGCTCACCCCATTTGCTGTGCTCATGGGTGACCTAAATTCTCAGAGCAGCCACAGTCCAGCTGGGCTTTACTAGCATATGTAAGGGCTGCAGAGACAACAGTTCTCAGATAAGCTGCCTGTATCATGCAGCCAGTGCATCTGCTGGACTTGGGCAAAGGAATAATAGAACATCTGGATTACTACACCTGCAGAGAGTGCTGGTCTGAAGGCTCACACTGAAGGGAACTCCCTCCTCACCTTGAGCAGCAGCAGTGCTGTTGGACCTTTCTGAAGCTCCAAGAAGAGGGATCTAAGCTCCAGTTGTGGTCTTGTGATTCACATGGAAATCAGCAGGACCAGCTACAACTTTGCTTCCTAAGTCAGGGTCAAGGGCTGATGGATTATGAAAAAGCTCAAGCCTCACTGAGACCTTCCTCCAGTGAGTAGAGGGGCTGCTGAGAGCCTCTTCTCCCATTCATCCCTCCAGCAGAAGCACCAGTAAGCAAAACACTACTGTCAAGGCTGAGGGGATGAAAACAATGGGAAGGAAATTAAGGCAGTGCAGGGGTATGGGAGGAAGGAACTTCAAACCCTCCCTCCTGCTTCATCACTTCCAGCCCTTCCTGCTGAAGGCCTTGCTCCGAGCTGCAGGACAAAGCCAGGAATTTGCCTTTTGTTCCTCTTCCTCCTGAGCACCTCCCTGGCATGCCAGCTGCACCTGGCATTTCAGAGCTGCCCCATCCCCAAGCCAGCTGATGGACACTGGAAGTCAGAAGCTCTGAGGCTAGGGGTTGTCCCAGGGAATTAAGAACCACCCTCTCCTTCTTTGCATACACAAAGGAAGGACTGCTGCAGCATCACATGGGCCACAGCTGAAAGAAGGGAGAGGATCTAGAGATAGAAGGAGTCTTGTGGCTACTTGTCTCCCAGTCACAAACTGCTCTTAGAGCTGCCCAAAATCTCTGTGGGTTTCCACATAGACAGTGCTTGCTAGCAAAGCAAAGTGAGGAGTCATCTGATCTGCACTATCCAGCACCCAGTGTGGTAGGAGCTCTGCACAGAGGACCCTGGGTCCACATTTCTGTGCCACTAATGCTTCCATTCCTTGACAGCAACACCCGTGCTTGCGTGAATTCCCACACCAGTCCCACACCAGCTCTTCACTGCTCCCAATTCTTACTAAAATTCTATGCCTTGAACAAATTTGCAGTGAGTCCTTGGAAAGGCCTGACAGACCCTCCTAGCAGAGACCTGGGAGAAGTGGGCAGCAGAAGCCACGTCATTAAGGGACAGAAGAAACATGGATAGCATGCTTGCAGAAGCACTGCTTATAGCCACTGCCAGGTTGCATTTACAGAGAGAGTTTCTTCCATGAAAGATAAAGCCACAGAGTTTTTCTAATGCTTAGTCTACCTTGACATAAGCTTTCCTACCAACCCATACTATTGCTAAGCCTGGGACAACCACAATCCTTTCTAAAATCCCACCTCCCTCCATGATGAACAACACTCAGAGGTTTCTCCAAACCAGCTATGAGTGGGAGACTCCTTACACATCCCCACAGCCCAGGCAGCACTCTGCATCTGCAACATGCCATGAAACAGTCCTTGCTGCTCTACATAACCCACTCAGGAGTCTCCTAGCTTCATCTGGACAGCAGAGCACCCAGCTTTATGCCAACAGCAGCACCAGCCCATCTCTAAGTGGAAACAGGCTTCCAAAAGCACCAAGACAGCTCTGCAAGCAGAAGCACCTTCCTCAAGTGCTCTTGCCCACTCCTTCACTGCCCTATGCCTGTCACCAGCTCAGGAGACACAAGCAGCTCCAATGAGGGAATACAGCACTGGGCTATGAACACAGCAGCTGTGAGTCTCCCAACCCAGACAGACCTGCTGCATGGTTTGTTTGCCTCAGTGCCTCTGCCTGTACATGGGAAACAACAGTCCCTCCTGCACACAGCAAGTTGCAAACTTCTTGTACAGAACAGGGCAACCCTGTGGGAATGCCTGTAAGGTCATCACAGCTCTGGACTGATCCTGTAAGGCAATGCCTTACCTGTATGAGTGGAAGGAGACAACTGCAAAACTTGTTCTGGGTAATAGCCCTGCTTCAGGAGAAGAGAAGCTTGACTGGTTTAGCTGACACAGCCCTACAGCAAGAAGCAGCCAGCTAATGTTACACTCTCTGCCTTGGAGTAAAATGTTTTTGCTGCCCTGGTGACAGTCATGGCTATCTGTATGTATTGGGTCTGGCTGGGATGGAGTTAACTTTCCTCACAGCAACCCCTAAGGTACTGTTTTGGATTTGTGGCTAAAACAGTGTTGATAACACACCAATGTTCAAGCTACTGCTGAAAAGTGCTTGCATAGCATCAGGGCTTTCTTACTCTGCTGAGCCCTGTCCACTCCCCAAGTGAGTAGACAAGGAATAGGCAAGAAGCTGGGAGAAGATGCATCTTGGATAGTTGACCCAAATCAGCCAAATGGATATCCCATACCATATGTTACCATGTTTAGCAATACAATCTACAGGGTTTTGTCCCCCAAGGTAGCCATTTCTCAGAAACTGGCTGGGTATCAGTCTGCTTGTGGATGAGGGTGAGCAATTACCTTTATATCACTAGTTTATGAAGTTTTCTGTGGTGGTGTGTTGGTTTTTTTTCCTCCCCTTTTTCCTTCACTTATAAAACTGTCTTTACCACACCCAGTGAGTTCTCTCACTTTTGCTTTTCCTGCTCTCTCACCTACCCTGTAGGAGGAATAGTGACTGAGCAGTTGTAGGGGTGCTTGACTGCTGGCTGGGGTCAACCCACCACACTATACAAGGCAACCCCCCCCTTGCAGAGAATACACCAACAGCAACAAATGCAGATGCCTGGGCAGGGCTGGTCTCCTGTGCATGGAGGCACACACATGGACACAAGACAAAACAGGGTTTTACAGGAGATGATGGAAAAAAAAATATAAATAAAAGATACCCAGAGGTCTGGGAGGGGTACCACATTACCCTTTTTAACTGCTTTGAAGATGGTGGTTGAAGTGGCATTCTCACTTGACAGAAGAGACTGTTCTCCCAGGCCTCCTGCAAAGGGAAAAAGAGCAGAGACACACCTGCTGGTGAGTTGGCTGCAGAGCTCTGACATGGGAAGGACAGCAGCTATCAGTGATGCCACAGGGCTCTGCTGGCCACAGAAAGCATATGCTTTCCCCACACAGGATGCAGGGACTAAGCTGGGCTCTTTTCATGGATTTATTCCTGGCCTACAGTTACACCTTGAGACTCATTACCATCCTGTGCCTTAGTTTACCCATATACTGAATAGTTACAAAGTCTCTTCCAGGGAAGGCTAATTCCAGGGAGTTTTACTGAGAATAGGGGCTATACAAGGAGGATAGTAGCAACAGTATCACCATTAAATCTCAAATTAAAAGATACCCTTTCAAGGCCAAGAACAATTTACATTCAGAAAGACATGGTCCTATCAACTCATATATCTGGCCTGAATTCACCTTAATTTGAAAATAAAAGTCCTTCTCTCTGTGACTCTAACACCTGCTGGGTACCAAAGCATGATGAATAAAGATGATGATAAATAAAGATAAATAAAGTAGCTCCTGGCTACTTCCTGTGCTTCATCCTGCACCAGCTACCCCCTCTCCTTTGGAACACCACTGCCAGGCACAGAGAGGTCCCCAGTGTGTCCACATAGGTGGCTCCTTCCAGCTCAGCCACCAAAACAAGTCTGGTTGGTCCCATTCCGAGTGCCTGCCTGCCTTTCCTAATTTCCTCATGGAAAACTGACAAGACAACAATGTGTTGGGGGAGAAATTTGACTGCTTGATGTCAGAGCTGTCGGACACAGAACCCACAGCAGTTCCATGGCATCTTTGTACCAGCACTGTGCTTAACCCTCCCCTTTCCCACAGGCAGCACCACTGCCTCCTCTCCCTACCAGCATGTGACAGCAGAGGATTGCTGGCAGCAGGGTGCAGAGCCTGCAGAGGCAACTCCACAAATTAGGCTGTTTGGCACACCAAGAGGGCTGAGGGGGCTCAGTGCATCCCCAACCCTCCACTGTAAGGTGAGGACATTTTTCAGTTTTAAAAAAACGTCCAAAAGAATAAAAAGTTCAGAGTGCTTAATGATTTTGCACTTTACCATAACACCTACACAGGGATCTGCAGATTGTCCCACCATGGGAGGACCAACAGTCATACAGTCTTAAGATTTGAATTCTATGTAGTGTCAACAGCTGTTGACTGTGAGGTGGGAGGGAGAATTAAGATCATCCAGCAGCAAGAGGACATTCAGGACAGGGACAGTTGAAGAAAATGCAATAAAAGGAATAGAAAAATGGTTGGAAAATGGGAGAGGGGGAAGAGAGATGAAGGATGCTCTTTACATAGCTGCAGGTTTCCCAGGCTTTCCATTTTCCAAGGTACAACTTGAGAACACCACAGAAGCCAGAAAGCAACTATAGACAGTATAGAAGCCTGGGCAGCATGACACTGAGCAGTCACAGACCCAACATGGAAAACCAACCAGAGTCTCTTCATCAGGGTAGCTCTCCATGGTGACTGCAGTAGGAGGGAGAACTCAAAAATGGTGCCTAGTTTCTACAGTTTTGGTGCCATAGGAAAGCACAAAGAGCACAGCCAACCACCGTATGCAGAAAGGGAGAGATACTGTTAGTCACACAGCACTGCTGGCAGCTGTGTGGATACTTCCAAGAGGAATGTTCCACTTTCAAGACAGCTGGACATCTTCCAGCCCCTGAACCAGTCCTGCTTTGCCAGTTGGAAAATTCTTCATTTTGCTCTGCTGCTGGCTTCTTGCAAATCCTTCTCTAGCTACTCCAAGGGATAAAGACTGGGGAAAAGGTGCATCTCTGACACCCTGGAGAAGGGCTTAGAGGATGGTATCAAACTCTACCTCTCTGACGTTATACAACCATAACTAATTAGAATATCAGGAAAGGGATTATGAAAGACACCAACAAATTGAACCAGAGGAAAATAAAATACCCAGACTCTCAGCTGACTATAGGTTAAATTTTCCTGGTCCAAGAGACACACTAAATCAGAGGATTGTCTTCCAAAGGAAGTGCCATGGTTTAACAGAGCTTGACTGGACAAAGGCCACTAGATGTGTGAACAGGAACAAGCCTGATTCAACAAGATGGATTGCTCTGAACTCTATCACTCTTTTCCAGCCTCAATGTCCTATCCTAAGATTTCCCTTTGTTTTCTTTCATGCCCAGTCCTCGTCACTTCCTTAAGCCCAAGCTCAACAAAAGTTCCTCTTCTCAGTTAAATTTTACATCCCCAGGACTGCCCTCCCCAACTCCCCCCATATGCTATTCTTCACACAATATCCTACTGCATTTAAAGGAAATCCCAACCAGCCATTCACCCCCAGAATTATTAAGGCATGTGGTCTTTGCCGAGGCAAAGGATAATTTTGTATTTCTAAATAAATGCAGCTCCCTTCCAGTCACCAACAGATTGCTTCTTAATTGAACTTGGGAGGTGAATTATATGGTGAATTAGCAAAAAAGAACAACTCTGTATTTAGTGAATTGTCCCCCTAAGAGGGAGCTGGAATGGGATTGAATTGCAAATGATGGCACCAAACCCTAGAGCCGGGCCCCTCTCCTGCACCCGAGCTGCTGACCTCTGCCGTGCTGCAGTGTCATTCAGGCAGGCTGCTTTTCCAAGCTGTGACACATTCTTTCCCAGAGATCAGTGCAAGCCTTGGTTTCTTATGCAAAGGAGATGTTTGAATAAACTATTGTGACCAATGAAATCTACAACATCTTTGCATATTTTGTCTCATTGTAGCTAATGAAAAGGAGAGCAGTACACAGAGGCCAGATATACCAGATATTTTCAAACACTGCTAATCTCACTAGTACAGATAGTGAGCACCCATAGCCTTCTCTCCTGCAGGGTTATTTTTGAATCATGTGAGTACTCTGGAAGATCCTGTTTCAATTCACTTGAGCTTTTACACCTTTGCTATGCTTATGATACCTAAACATATACCAAAGGTTAAAGTCACCTGACAGACATTTAGTCCTCTGTTCTGTTCTTCCCAAGGGAAGGTTAAGGCAAGAACCAAGCAAAACAAAGATAAATACCTGATGTGTCAATCAATAAAGAAGCCAAGAAATGCACTTTGCATCTGGAAGCAGCTGCACATAAGCTGCAGGCAACGTGCAGGTCCTGTTGCCCCCTCAAAACGCTCCTGAAGTTGTACCTCTGCTGGACTATTCAGTCACCCCCAAGAGCAGAGCAGATTCCAGGATTACTGCTCCAGAGCATGAAATGCCTCTGCATGTAGTGAAGTCTACTACCATTAGAAACACTGAAGAATGGAGATTTTCAGTTTAACACAACGTTCCATGGAAAGTCCATACAGGAATAAAAAGGCAGGCTTGGCCTACTACTTACTGTAACCTATAATGAGAAGAGCAAAAAAAAAGGAATGACTTTTCTGTGTTTGGGGTTTATTTATTTTAAAAATTTTTAATTCATATCCATCAGTTAAGCCCTCCAAAGATCACTTTCATCCTCAGTACTTTCCACCTGCTGCTGTGCCAGACCAGCCATCACCTCTGTCCATCCTGGTTTAGGCTTTGTTTCTCCCACAACCAAGTATGATGCAAAATTTGTTAGATCTTGCCTCCATGCAGGGAGCTATACTAGATATCCTAAGCTCTTTTACCTTCCACATTTTTGTGATTCAGTCCTTCCTGACAATTTATCCTGCTTAACAGCTACAACACCAATAGGACACTACTGGATTCCAACTCAATAACTTAGTTTCTGTGCACAGCCTGGCAGAGAATACACAAGAGATTCTGTCCCAAGGCTGGAAATATTTCATCTTCTACCCACAGCACACTTACTGTACAAGTCGTTTTTCTGTTTCCCACAGACTAGCACTGCCAAGGCAGCTTGGCTGAACGAAAGAAATGTCCAGTAGCTTAAATGCACCATAAATATGAGATAAATCTTGCAACACTGGCTGAAGTACATGTGCCTAAATAGTGTGCAGGTACTAGAGAGGCAGCCTGAGGTGGTAGGTAAGGATCCCATGAAGAAGAAAGCAGCATGCTGTTGGGAAGAAAGCAGTTTCTCCCACTCTTCCAGAAGAGGAAAATGAAAATCCAGTTTTGTTAAAAGATGCCCAAGTTGTTCAGCTGGAACCAAAATAAAAGACAACGTATTGAGAGAGACCCCGAGAGAGCGCACATGAACCATCCCATTAAAACAGTAGTTTGCAGTTCCCTTGTATCACTAGCACAGAATAAAAGATGTGTAACCTGAGGAAAGAGCATGAAACAAACTCCATTCACTATCTATACTTCCCACAAGAGAGAGTGGAGATAGGCATAGTAGTAATATATTGGATCAAAAAATTTGTCTTCTACAAGATGCAACTTAGGTTTGAACGTATTTATTGCTGTGCATGTTCCACCTCTTTTTTTAAGCCCAAGTAGCCTAAACTACCAAATAGGGGGCAATCAGACCCCTTACTAAATAAAGCTCCTGTGTTTTCTTCCACTTGACTACAAACCATGAGGGATTTCTTGCCTGAGAGGAAAGCTGGGGAGAGCAGTTAAGCAGCTATCTGGTGAATCAGGATTCATGTAGTGGGCCTAGAAATACCCACCAGGCTGTTAATGAGTCCCTCCAAGACCTCCAAGCTGCTTGAAAGCAGGTGACTTCTAAAATGTTTTACCACCACCTGTCTCCTAGCTTTTATCTGAAAACAATACTCCGGGGCAAGACGATTTACCCAAATGAAAGAAAGTGAAACATCAGTCTATCCTGAGATATGTCAAGCTTCATTTTCAGACAATATCCACCTAGAATTTTAGTCTTAAACCCAACTACTGCCAGTAGGAATTGTAGGCATCCAAAAAAAAAATTACAGTTTGAGAACACAAAATGTTCCTGCACAGGAATTTGGATGGGATGAAGCTTGCAACATCTCTCTTTTTTTCCAAAGTGGAAAAGTTCCCATTAAAATCAAAGCTTCTCACTTTCAGAGAAGTTCCAAGGAGGATAATTTTT